GCTTTAAATACACTTTGAAACCACGACAACGCATCTATATCTATATAGTTATATATTATAAACAATTCAATGACTTATTTTCGTCATAACTTGTTGCTGAACTGACAACTCCGCTGACGGTCGGACTTCTTGGTGCGCATGCGCAGGCATGGTACTCACTGCATGTAGGTTATCCTGACGGCGTGTGATCAGAAACACTACAGGACGGATCATGACATCATCACACATTGAATTTTAAAAATAAAACAAACATTTAATGAGTCACATTTTATTGTGGCGGTTAATGTTATGATTATTTAGCCAAATTGAATCTGATCTCCAGCAGATACACAGGACAGAATATGACAAGGTGGCAAAAAACTGATAATGTTCTTTATTTATCACCAGCTTAAACCGTAAAATGATCTGGATATTATTCAGTATTTTACACACAAAGCCATTTTTATACTCAAACCTTCTGTGTGAGAATTAAATGTGATAAATGAAATTATTTAGTGGTCTAATAATTTTTAATTGATTTTATTTATGGTGACGCTGGAAACTCAGAAAAACTGATCAAAATCCCAACTTTGAGTTTTTGTTTAAAACTTTTATGTTTAGTCTGTAAAGAATCAGATTAAATCGACCGTAAAGTTTTTGCTTCTTTGTGTTTTTCATGTTTATTGCATTAATATTTCCAACTGTTTTTTTTTTTTATTTCTTACTTTGGTTTAAATTGTGATTCTTCCAGTTAAAGGAAGATTTTTTGTTGGTAAAAATATCTTTACTTCAAAATGACCTCATAACTTCCAACAATCATGTTTGTCCTTTAAGCGTCTCGGTGTCCAGGAAACTGGGCGGACGTTTCACTTTCCTTTCCTTCCGGCTCCTGCTGCTCCGCAGGAACCTCCGTCTGCAGACCGACTTCCCGACCCAACGGCACAATGAACCCGGCGCTGCCCGGCCCCCGCTCGCCCGGCGACATCCTGGAGGAGCTGCAGCTGATCGCGGCTCAGAACTTGGAGACGCTGGACATCAGCCGGTACTACCAGGTGGTCCGAGAGCTGGGCAAGGGAACCTACGGGAAGGTGGACCTGGTCATCCACAAGATCCGAGGTAACCCGGCCCCAGGCAGCTGCAGGGGCCTCTGCACCAACAGGGGGCCCCAAAGCATCAACCTATGATAAATATTTAAAATTTCATTAAATAGTATAAATTAAATGGAAAAATGATTGCTATTATTTTTAAATGCTGCCACTTTGGGGAAATATAATATCGAACTTGTTAATTTCTGTAGTTTTAGTTTTTATCAGCTGATGTTTCTTTCAAACAGTTAAAATAAAATTTAACATTTTAATACAAATCTGCATTTCAAAATGTGTTGTTGTTGTTGTTACAAACAATGCTAATGCTAGCAGCTCCATTTCACACAGAGCAGCAGAGGAACGATGAGTCATTTGGTGTTGACATGTTGGTTTGGGGGCCTCAAAGGAAAATCTGCTCAGGGCCCCAGAAAGGCTGGGAGCGGCCCTGCATCAACATCCTATTGTTGCCAGGAAACCAAACATCAGATTAATTTTGTAACCAGGAGGCTGAATAAAAGTCTGAGCTGCTTTTAACCTGAACGAACAGAAAAGCTCCTGATCTGAGAAAATCTCGTCTGAGTTTCTGATGAACCAAACCGACATGAACAGCTGAACCTGCTCCAAACGAGCTGATTGGTCCAGAGGCTCCTGGCAGAACATGGAGGTTTCTTATCAGCAGGACAAATGACTGACAGTCGTTTATTCTGACAGTGAAACGACAGAATCGGCCTGGTTTCACAGGAAATCTGCCGAGTCAGCGCTACGAGGTCAAAATGTTAAAACTCTTAATGTTCCTCTTTAAAGCTCCACTGACCAATCAGAAGACTGCCGGCTTCTGATTGGCTGCAGTCCGTCATGAAGACGCAAACTGCCGAACATCCAGAAATCAGCTTAATAAATTTAGTTGCTTCATTATAAAAATATGTGCATTATAAACAGTTTCTGAAAACTCTGTTTAAACCGTCTGTCAGACTAATTAACTGGATTAGTTTGAAAATTTTATGTTTCTGTTAAAAACCTGCTGAAATTTTTCTATTTTATGTTTTATCAGCAAACCTGATCATGAAATAGATGTAAGACATCTAGGAGAAATGTTTAATTTTCATTTCAACTTAATTGTTATTAGTGCTCATTGGTGGAGCGATAAGCTACAGCGTAGTCGGCCATTTTACATTAGTTATGGATTCAACCAATGAAACAAAACTTTTTCTGAACCGAGAGAAATCAGAAACAAACATCCTGCTGCTACTTCCTGTTTGTTCTTTGTCGTTTCCGCCAGTAGTAACATCCGACTGTTGATCATGTGACTTCAAAAACATCCCAACTCATCCCAGTGAAAATGTTTTATCCAGAAACATATTTTATTTTCCTAATTTAATTTCTGCAATTCTGTGGCTAATTGAAAGTCAGCTACTGAGTCGACTCTGAACTCCTCTAACCCAAACGCAGCAGTGACTAAAAACGGCCCAGTCAAAGTCCGGCCACACCTGATTGAACGTTCAGTCTCTGATTTTGGACCGGAGCAGCAGAATGCCTCTGCTGAGTCTCTGGGTTCTCCAGTCATCCGGAACCGGACCGGACCGCCCCCTGGTGAGCCGGAACGTGTCGGTCAGCAGGTTCTGCTCCGGTTCCCCTCGGTTTGTTCTGCCGTCAGCAGGACGAGCCGCAGCTACAGGCGTTAGCTTCTCCATTCAATCCCACCAGCAGCTCCAACGTGAAGAAAGCCAGAAATATCTGGAGGATTTTACTCTCCAGCAGACGATCGTCGGGTTTAGTGTGTGTGAATTATTCAGATTTTAATCACGTTAGTTTCTGGCTGCCAGGCGGCGGTGACGCGGCAGAGCAGCTAACTAACGGTCCTGTCCCGCTCCAGGCACCAAAATGGCGCTGAAGTTCCTGAGGAAGAAGAGCACCAAGCTGAAGAGCTTCCTGCGGGAGTACAGCGTGTCGCTCTACCTGTCGCCCTGCCCCTTCATCATCAACATGTACGGCATCGCCTTCCAGACTGACGACTTCTACATCTTCGCCCAGGAGTTCGCGCCGGCGGGGGATCTGTTCGACATCATCCCGCCGCAGGTCAGAAAGCTAAAAAAAACATCCGTTCTTCATGAAACCCGATTCATACTAACGGGAGAGTGGTGGGAGTAACGAAACAGAAGATATTACACTAAACACAGGGAGGGAGAGAAGCCAACTGAGAGCGCTGGGCGAGGTCAGGGGTCACAATGAGGAATATTTACGGAAAACATTGATACGGGAGAAGGAGGTAAAATAGATACTTTCCTGGAAAAAACGGGAGACTTGACAGGTATGCCTCCATGACTTACTGCACCAAAAGCAACCAATCACAGCCAGGAGGCGGGGCTTAGCGCTGTCAATTATTTACATGTACTCACTGTTGTTTGGTTTGACTCAGAACAGAGAGAGAGAACCACAGCCGTTGAAGTTTTGGTTTTTACTGGACAACCAGTCCAGTAAAAATGTAGAAAACCAAACATTTTTGGTTGTTGCATTTAACCCAAACATGGCCGCTCATATCCTGACTGCTGCAGCAATGGGCGGGTCCTGCTCTGCGTCCTGTCTGACCTGCTGCTCTGTGTCCAGGTGGGACTCCCTGAGGCCTTGGCAAAGCGCTGCGTCCACCAGGTGGCCATCGCCCTGGACTACCTGCACTGTAAGAAGCTGGTCCACCGGGACATCAAACCGGAGAACGTCCTCATCTTTGACACCGAGTGCAGAAAGGTCAAGCTGTCGGACTTCGGCATGACGCGGCGCGCCGGCTCTCCGGTGAAACGCGTCAGCGGCACCATCCCGTACACGGCGCCGGAGCTGTGCGACGCGGCGCGACACGACGGATTCAGCGTGGACTTCAGCACGGACGTGTGGGCGTTCGGCGTGCTGCTGTTCTGCATGCTGACGGGGAACTTCCCCTGGGAGAAGGCCATGACGAACGACGCCTTCTACGAAGAGTTCGCCCGCTGGCAGCGCCGCCGGTCCGGCGCCGCGCCGTCGCAGTGGCGCCGCTTCACGGACGAAGCTCTGCGGATGTTTCGCCGGCTTCTGTCCATCGAGCAGCAGCGCCGCTGCGCCGTCAAGGACATCTTTAGCTACTTCAACCACAGCTGGATGTTGGACACGGACAACGGGAACGGCGGCGCGGCGACCGCCAACCCCGTGGACATCAGCTCGTCTTCGTCGGAGGAGGAGGCGCTGGTGGACAGGCTGAAGCAGCAGAGCCTGTCGCCCGCATGCGCCGCGCCCAAGCCCGGCTTCATGGACGACCACTTCGCTTCAAACGGCGAGCGAGTCAACAGGAACAGCAACGAAAGGGCGCGGATCCTGGTGACCACGCCCATCGAGATCTGCGTGTAGAGACGCTGCTGCCTGTTGGAGCGCGAGCCGAAGATTTCCCCGACGTGACGACGCCATGACGGAAGAGCGGAAAGGAGGTCGGCACCGGAAAATGGCCGCCAGCCTGTTGTACCTTCAGCGCCGATCCGACCCGACCGTTTCCGATGACGGAGGAACCGGAGGAAACGAGACGCGTGAAAATGAAACCGTGTGAGGTTAGCTCAGTCCGGAACCAGCAGAAACTGGAGCCTGGAAGAAACCAGGAAGCTGAGAAAGACCTGAGGAAAACTGTGACTCGTGTTTACCGTCGTGTTTCTGTGAATGAGTCTTTATTGATCAGATTAATATATTTATGGATTGTTTGTGACAGAAAAGATCTTAAGTTTATTTCCTTCAACGGAAATAAAAATCTGTAGTTTGGTAGTAAAATGGAGGCAGCATCATTTTGAGTGTTAATCAGCCACCAGTCCTCCCAGTTCGTCTCCCTGGACTTTTCTCACGTTGGAGCTGAAATGTGAATTTCCTGAGGAAAATAAAATTGCAGTGATAAAGTTTTATTAAAAAGAAGAAAAGCAGAGAACGATTTGGATTTTTCTTTTCCTGTTTACTAAATCAAAGATGAAATTATTTGTGCTTTCTGTGAGAAACTTGACAGGAAATGAGGTTTGTTTAAGCCGGAAGTGACGCGCCTGCCGACATGTTTCCGTTAAAAACTTCCTGCCTCGCGGAAAAACGTTTTTTCTTTTCGTTTCTGTGTTTCTTGCATGATGTCGTTTCTGTAGTATTTCTGGAAATAAAACCAAAAATGAAAACAACTTCCTTTCTTTGTGGATTTTTCTCAAAGTCGAATTGAAACATGAAGGATTACTAAAAGTTAGAGAAAAAAATTATTCAAATCGACTCGTTGAACTAAACTACAGAAACTAAGAATCACCCAAAAATCATGAACAAGTTGCTGTGAAACTCAAGGTGTCGCACTGTAATCAGCTAATTGAGTTCTGCATCCAATCAGATTTACAGAAAGTTCAGTGGAAGGAAAACCTATGATCTGAATAGGTGCATTAAAAACAGGGAGATGCTGATTTTATTTTCCAGCAGGATTTGGCACCAAAAGCTTCTTCAGTCACTGTTGTGTTTGGATGCCCTGACCTTTGACCCCACAGGGAATCACTGGAGATTAAAACGAAGATCAGAGAACCCAAAACCAACGATGCAGATCAGCTGGAGGTCCAGAAGAACCCGAACTCCTCAGAGCCAGAGGCTGCAGAACCAACTCAGGCTATAGACCAAAATTTAAATGTTTAATTACTTATTAAAATTTCGTGAGACTGAACTTTGAGTTTTTGTCATTTGTGAGCCATAATCATAAAAATTACAAGAAATAAAAGCTTTAAAATGTCATGAATCTGGAATAAGTAAAACTAGTCGACTATAATATTCTCAGCTGCAGTTCACATCTGAGATGAGAACAAAATATCAAAACTCTTTTCTCCAGTTTTACTCAAGCAGTCCTGGTTGTCAAACAAAATCTAAATGCTCATCAATGTTAAAGATTAATTGCATTAAACTTATTTGAACATGTTAAAATCTGTTAGTATTTGAAATGAACTTGTTAAAATCCCAGTGAACTGCGACTTGTTGCTCAGCGGTTCGCTGCTGAACCGGCAGCAGATGAATATTTTCTGGTTTCCATCGTTTTGACGTTTTGGGTTGAAGCAGAAATGAAATGAAAGTTCTTCAGCTGGAGCAGACACAGCGCCACCAACAGGCCACCGACTCATGAACAATGAAACGATCTGCAGCAGAACCACTGGAGTTTCACTGGAAGATCATTTTAGGTTTTCATTATTTTTCAAGCAAATATAAAGACGAATGGATTCACTCGTTCACTTCCAGGTCAGGAAGTGAACGAGTGAATCAAAAACAGACGGGAAGGAATGAATCGTTACATTGGTCACATTAATGAGCTTCAAACTGAAGGACTGGACTTTAAATGAGCAGCTTCATCACCTGACTGGAGGCTGAATTATGTAAAACCCCCAGCAGGTGGCGCAAACAGCAGCAACCTGCAGCAACGCTGCATGTTCAGCAGCAACCTGCAGCAACGCTGCATGTTCAGCAGCAACCTGCAGCAACGCTGCATGTTCAGCAGCAACCTGCAGCAACGCTGCAGCAGCCAGTTCCTCTGAGGCTCTCGGGTTTCGTCCAGCAGAGACGTCGATGTTTTTCTGCTCAGCAGACGGTGGTCAACATGCTGCCTGCTGCTGCTTCAACAAAAATGAGCTTTAATAAGTTTATATGGTTTTATATAAAGATGTTATTGGCCAATATTCAGATGAATCAGAGCCTAATGTGACGAGGATTTGCTTAGTCAGCAGAACAAGAATCCTGGTTTCATTCAGACTTTAGAAATACAGTCAATAAATCCAGAACAGATGAAAATCTAAGAGATGAAAACCAGAAAAAGATTCGGTCAGATTACAGCAAAACCAGGAGAATCTGCCACTGTGGAGAGACAGAACCAGAGAATCTGGATTCCCACCAGAAAGCAAAATCCCAAAATATTAAGAAACCAACAAAATCTCAATCCCAAAGGGATTGGTAATCCTACGCTCCTCCTCAGACCAAATCCCAGAACAATTTAGTGAAGAAACTGAATGAAAAAGATGGAAATCATAAAATGAGGCGACTGAAGTCCAAACATCAGAGTTT